GAGCCCCTAGTAGCGTCCTTGCTCCTAGTAGTAAGGCCAGGAGCCCCTAGTAGCTTCTTGTTCCTAGTAGCGATGCCAGGAGTCCCTAGTAGCGTCCTTGCTCCTAGTAGTAAGGCCAGGAGCCCCGATGCCAGGAGCCCCTAGTAGCGTCCTTGCTCCTAGTAGTAAGGTCAGGAGCCCCTAGTAGCTTCTTGTTCCTAGTAGCGATGCCAGGAGCCCCTAGTAGCGTCCTTGCTCCTAGTAGTAAGGCCAGGAGCCCCTAGTAGCTTCTTGTTAGGAGCCCCTAGTAGCGTCCTTGCTCCTAGCAGTAAAGCCAGGAGCCCCTAGCAGCTTCTTGTTACAACGGCCAAGGAGCCATCTCCAACTTCCGCACCCAAGGCCACCACTTGCATTTCGGCACCTCCGACGCTGCTGGGGCCGGAAGGGGCACGCTGGCGGGCAGGCCCGGCTCCAAGGATAGGGACACGTCAGGCTCCAAGGTCGCATCCAAGGGCACCAGTAATGGTGTGTCATCCAACTGATCCTCTAAGCCTGGAGGAGGCGCCACCATGGCGACCATGATGTCGCTCGACACGGAGCTGGACTAGTGAGCCGAAACTGAAAATCCCTCGGCGCTGGTGACGCTCTGGCCAAACGGCTGCAGGCGCGGCACGTTTCCTCGGGCGTGCGTTTCCTTGCGTCGCTCATGTCACGAGTCTCGTGATTGGCCAGGATTCACTGGGGTCATTTGATGGTATCAGAATCTCTGCACCTTCCAAGACTAGGTTAAGCCATCGGCGCGTTGGAATGCCACTTCTTTGCAATTTCTTTTGGTCAACGGACACCGGACACCCGGAAGTTCGACCTCTTCGGTTGGTGTTTTTTGGGAACACGAACATCGTCTGCTGAAAAAAAAGATCGCAGGAAGGCCCCTGCCCCCGAGTCCTTGAGTCTTAAGACCTCATTCAACCCATCTAGATCCGACTCACATTTTGGAGAATCACCTTTAAAACGATTCGATCACAGAAGAACACCACTTTGGAGAATCACGACCTCGTCCACCCAAAAAGGAAACAGATCCAACAAAAAGATTAACATGGATCTTCTGTATTTGAAGTGCATTTGTGGCGTTTTCAATCACAATCCAACAGCCATGAACCATATGAGTCAGTGTTTTTTTCTCATCTCACGCAAAGGTTGATAAACATGTCTGAAACCATGCAGGAATCGCCAAGCCCTCCCAACAAGGCAGGCCTTTGTAGGAAGTTTCCGACTTTACCAGCCATGTCACTCAGCATGACTGAGCCATGAAATTTTCACCCACCAAATGGACTCGGGTGTCCCCTTACTGTCGAAAGAAGACATCCATCATCTCCTTGAGATCAAGCCATTGGTTTAACCACTCGTTTACTCCATGGTCCATGCCATGATATCCAGCGTTCGGTTGGTTTCTGTACGGTTTCTGTGCAGGATCTTGAACTGGTGAACCCTAAAAGATATCTCCACACAAACAAATTTCCACGTCTTCTTTCCACAATGTCCAGCTGTTTCAGAAATAGACCACCGGTTTGGCTGAAGGAAAGCCCATCGGATTTCAAACTCTTCGATTCCAAAATGATCTGGCAGGTTTCCATGATTTTCCACGCAAAGTGAAACTGTTGTTGATTCCCATGCAAAAAACTGTTTCCATGAAAACACTTTTCCATGTTTTTTTGATTCCCAAACACTTGCCGCACCGAACCAAAACACTGTGCCAAGCTGCACGGACTGTGCCGGTGGGAGCCACTCACGGTAGGTGATGGCACCAGACTGTGAGGAACAAAGCCGCAGGTGACGAGGAGGATGAAGAACATGCGAAACCACTGGTTGCTGGGGAATTGAACATGAGCCCCCAAAATGAACATGGTTTTCTGAAGTTTTCTGTGTATCTGATACAGATGTATGGGCTAAAAGCAGTATGGAACTGTTAGTTAGGCAACCACGCGAACGTAAGACACAGTGCCAAGCGGTTCACAGAATGATCACACTGCACAAACGTTCATGGCCTGGGGACTAGGAGCTTTGATGATGAGCATTGATGCCATTCTGTGACTGGCATGTTGTTCTTCCAAGACATCTAATATCCATCAACCAATAAACCAATAATTCATCAATAGAAATCACGTAACATAGCCTTCATTTCTACCATGACTCCTCCGTCCAACCATCACGTGCCATGCGGTGACGACCCGCCTCATCGGTGGTGAAGCCCAGGCGTTGGTAGCCTTCGGCGAACTGGGTCAACGAGCCGGCGGTCTCCTGGCACCGTTCGACCCGGTGGGCCGGACCTTTCACGGCCGATGTGCGGGAGATGGGCCCGATGGGCTGGTACCTTCCGAACCACGCCACGGTTCACATCTTCATCATGGTTACTGCATGCGACCATGGGTGCCATTGGACTCCCGTCCAGCTCGCTCGCTCGCTCGCTCGCTCCGCTCCTGGATGCTTTTGCGGAGGTCGGTGTAGACCTTCCATCGGTACTCCAAGTGGCCGCGGAAGGGGACAGTGGCTGGATCTGATTCCAGCAATCCTCGGTGTGCACCATTTGGAAACCGACAGAGACACCATGGGCCCCTGGGGTGGACGATAACAGGGCAGTAGCACCGTGGCAATCATATTTGTTTCAAGAGGACAACGATGTCAACAACTGAATTGAATGCACTCCTTCTTGATGCTTAGTGGTGATTCTTTTCACATCTGTCAACGACTTTGAAGGGCAGGGAGGCGTGCTACCAGACTCTCCAGAAACCTAGATCAACCTGGACACCCCACCAGGCATACGTACGAGTCCCTGCATTTGACTGCTTCACTTGATAAAAACGGCTATTTGATCTAAACATCGATTTACAAGCTCGTGAGAGGCCTCTTACTAACGGTGTCAGCTTCGAAGCCTAAAGTTGGAGCACACAGCGCAAAAAGTGCAGAACACGTGCACAAGATCGTACTTTTGGATCAGTTGGCTCCGCGAATAGCTCACCCTTGACGGGTGAAGCGTTTCAAGCCAATCTGAGCAGCTTCGTCAGCCTTGGGCATCTGCCTATCAAGAAGCAGCTCTTAGCATCATGCGTACCCCCGGAACATGCTTAACCCCAGAACGTCCTCCAGCCCCAAGGGGGTGAGCCTTGAAATAGGCCCTATAAGCTTCGGGATCAGGGGGGGTATGGATTTTAAGAGGGAGACCCTCTGGCCCAACAGGTTTTGATCTATTTCTTTTTCAGGGGGTCATTGCCTGGGAGATGGTCTCCCTACTTGAGCTACACACCCAGAGGCCCAGAGGAGGATTTCAGCAGATTCACCGCGGCAACTCCCCAAGAAATCTGCTGTGCGGTGCCCAGCGTCCGAGCCCATTGCCACGGATGGGACGGTCGCGCACCTGGGAAGTGGCGGAAGAACCGCTGCAGTTCGGTGAGTGCAACTCGCAGCTCAGTCCACTTCGGGGGAACTTCACAGATGGCGAAGGATGTGTGACGAAACCTGTGCATCAGTGTTTTGTTCCTTTGCACTTTTTCGAAGTGAACAGGTGCAACAGGCTCTGAGCCACATACCCAATAGTCTTACAGAATTCCCTGAAGCAGTGAACAATAGACGAGCACACACCTGCAAACCTTCTAATTAGGTAAGCAGGTAAGCTACTCCGAATATATCCGGGTGCAGCCCTCTATCTACTTCTGCAATCTGGGGAGCCCGCAAACGAAAAAAGAGCATGCAAACCAAAACATCGAAAGAAGTCCAAAAGCATCTCCAACTCCTTTGAACTTCCCTCTGACTTGCTCTCGCTTTGGTTCAACTCTCTTTCAGGGCCATCGGTGGACCTATGGATTTTCCTCATTTCACTTAGACTTTCTGACATTGCACAGCCAAAACGAAGACCATGAAAGGCCAATATCACCCAACTCCAGGGAGCATCACGCAGCCCCCCATCACCTCGACCCAACACATACTCCTTCACTCCTCACACTCCCACAGGCATGGCAAGCCGTGGCACTGCCGGCTTGAACTTCAAGCGCCCCGCGCGACCATCACCGGTCGGCAAGACCTCCTCGGGCTCCACGAAGACGATGGCCGACATGGGAGGCACCAGCAGCTCATTGCCTCGGCCCGACGTCCGCCAAGCGCAGGCGCGGCGTTTGCGGCGCCACCAAGGTGGACGGGCGTGTGACCGCGTGTGACATATTTTTTGTCGGGCGTTTTAATGGGCGAAGGGCTCTGGGGCTCTGGGTGGATGGTAGACTTGGCGACGTTGTTCTTTTTGGTTTTTTCTTGAATTTTCTTTGCTCTAAAGTCTTCTGGTGGTTCAGCCGACCTGCGAGTGGAATCGTTCTGGTTCATCGAGATGATGGATTACGGTCGGACAGTTGCACTTCTTGGTCTAGACAAGGGACCCTTCGCGCAACAGTTGTGGAGTTGGGCTCAGTAATTAGTCTATCACGGAGTTGAGGCACTGCAAAGAAATCACACACAAAATGATACCATCCTGGCGTCACAATAGCACAACAGTTCTTTGGTTGCTTGTTTCAACTCACGAAGGAAAAACAGTAGCCAGTATAATTGAGTTCGATCATCCCAAGTCAAGGTTGAAGATGACTATATTATAGACTATATTAGGTTGAACAATGTTGAACATGAAAACATCTGAAACCACCACGAACCAGTAAGGTCGCTCAAAAAAATCCATCACCGGGTTCGACTCGACTCCGCCCACTCCTCACAGCTCTTTCCTCCCAGCAACTCTCCAGGTCAACGCGTGCTTCTCGTGTCAACTCGTCCGTGGACTCAGCGTGAAGCGGATGCCTCGATTGACGCGTCACGCATCCGGACGCGTAAAAGGCATCCCGGTGTGTGGCCGGGCTCCCAGTTCACCCAGTGAAGGGTGATATGATGTTGAAAGGACGGAAAGAAGGTGAAAACATTCCAGGAAGGATGCATTCTTGAAGAGGATCTATCATTCCGATTGCATGCGATGGCCTCTGCAGCAATGGAGGGCTCTAACTTGATCATGCCGCTCACGGCGTGATTGTTCTTGCCCCTTGTGGGGCCCTTCTTTCATGCCCTTCCTGTCGAAGTTTTCCGTGAAATGCTCCATGAGCTGCAGAACGTCAATTCGTGCCGTCATGCCTTCGCAGGATCACTGCAGCATAATATGTTTGTTGCTGGTCATATATACTCATTTACTAGTAGCTACTTGTTCCTAGTAGCGATGCTCTTTGCTCCTAGTATTGTTTGTTGCTCTTATATATTCCATCGGCCGGAGCTGGAGCGGTCATTTCCATGAAAGGAGCGCCCGCACTTCCTTCTCTGGTCTTTGGCCGACAAACATGGATGCCAAACACACGGCGGTTTGAACAGGCTCGGGTCGGCTCGGCTGAGAAGTGAAGTTCACAGTGGCAGCACAGCCTGCATCGAGTGTAGGGTTGTATAGGACTCTGATATACTATCCGCTGAGCTCCTGAATAGTTCATTTCTTTGAACATCCTTGCTAATCACGAGTTTGCACTATTGAGTTTTGCAAAATAGGAGTTGCTTTTTACAGCTAGAGAAGACTGACGCACCCTTGGTCCAAGGGACAAAACGGCTGCAACATTGATGTTTGTCCTTTTTGTCCCCAATTTGATTCAAGCTCAACCAACGTGTCCTACCTGAAGGGTTCTATCCGTTGGGAAGTCCATGCAACCGAGGGACTTCAACTGCATGCATCTGGGAACTGACTAGTGCACCACCAGGCAGTCTGTGCTTGGGCGGCAGCCCCCCACAGCTAGGGCAGCCCAGAGTCCTGCTTGCAACCTCTTTGTTGGGGGTATGATTCATGAACAATATCTATATGAATTGATGCCAACAAATCTTTCTCCGCCCGCTAACCCAAAATTTTCGAGGAATTCTGGTGATATCAAACTAAGGAACCAGGATTGGTCGCTGGATGCACAAGCAAATGGACCGGAAGAACCTGCAGTGCTCCGGAAAGTGCCAGTGTTTCCTTCTCCAAGTCAAGGTGCACTTGCAGCGATCCATTGGTATAGCTCGCTGGGATTTCCACCCGGTGCTCCTGCGACATCATCTGGTCAAAGAAACCCATCAACCAATCACCACATGGGTTTTCGAGCAGCGGATTTGCCCCAAACATATGCACAAAAAAAACAATTTCCCATTTATACCATTCCCAGCCAGGTGGCGTATACCATATTTGTCATATCCTAGTCGCAACACATGGACTGCCCACAGGACTGGGGGTGGGTGGTGGTGGTGGTTTGGGGGGGGGGCAAGATTGATGGGCATAGACTCCAATCCCATGGGTCGTGCATGGGTATGCTGAATGGGTCAACCACTCTGGTCAATCTCACTTGGTACTGGGAGCCCGGTTTCCGGCGCCCCGCGAGTGAAAAAGCGATCAAAGAGACCCGATCCAATTGAAGAGGCTTCTTTAGTCCAAATGCCGGGGGAGAGTTGATTATATAATCAAGAGTGTACTATACATTTAGATTTTTTCATGAATTTTCCACCACCCCAGGCCTCTGGAAGAGGCTTTACAAGACCGAGTTCCCATCGCGCAAACCGTGAGCTTCGTGGGCGTTTCGCGCTCCGTGGGCAAAGCAGAGAGCACCACCACCACGCGCGCGTACTTGTCACCTGAGCCACCAAGCTCCGGCACCTGATAGGTGTCTTTGTTGAGGTGGGGAGGGAGATCTTTCCTTTATATTTCGGGCGCGTCTTAGACTTGGGACCGCTCCCAAGACTATTGGTGCAAAAGATACACGACAGTAGGAACAAGAGAATCTGGGTTGAGAGGGTTTTCCCTTTTGGATAACACTTTCACTTTGGATGGTTCTTTCGAGACCCACGAGGACGGGCCTGGTTGGGATTTCATATCCAAAGCTCAATCAACAAGCTGCGCTGACTCACAGCCAACTTCCGCAAAAGGTTGTGCAACTCGATACCCTATTCTGTGATACCTTATTCTAGCACGTGAGGGACGACTCTGATGTCTTCTTTCTCGGTGTGCGCACATTTTTTGGGGGCTCAACAGCAAGGTACCCACTGGGTTTCAAGGGCACATGTGATACGTCATGAGCAGAATCGGTGTTTCTTCACTTTTCATCCATTTGACCAGTCCCATGGCGGCTACTAGTAACAAAAAGCTACTAGGGGCTCCTGGCATCGCTACTAGGAGCAAGGACGCTACTGGGGGCTCCTGGCCTTACTACTAGGAACAAGAAGCTACTCGGGGCTCCTGGCATTGCTACTAGGAGGAGCAGGGACGCTACTAGGGGCTCCTGGCCTTACTACTAGGAACAAGAAGCTACTAGGGGCGCCTGGCCTTACTACTAGGAGCAAGGGCGCTACTAGGGGCTCCTGGCCTTACTACTAG